CTCTCTCTCTCTCTCTCTCTCTTAGTTTCTCTTACGTCGTGCAAAAAGCTGACAGAATCAATTGAAACATTTACGGATCATCTAGAAAGAGGAACTACCATACACTATTACTTTACTGCCACTGCGCTTTATGTCCCATCTTTCCATCTCTAAGACAGACTTTCGTGCAATGTGAGCTCTGCAGAAACACTTGACACAGTGCAAGAAGCCAGAAGCAATATCTCTCTGCGTCTCACTCATGCTCATATTTTCCCGTAGGTTTTGGCTTTTGAATGTTGTTGTTTCAGTGGAAACAGGTTGATATGATTAGACAAAGTGCTAACTAAGTGATCTCAGGAAATTAAGTAGAACGAAGAAGAAGAAGAAGAAGAAGAAGAAGAAGAAGAAGAAGAAGAAGAAGAAGAACGCTCATAACATCAATATCAAAAACGATAATACTAGCAATCGATTTGATTTTAGTAAAATAATGAAATAATATTAAAATAATAAATGCAGTAATATTATTATAAAACAAAATTTCTAAAATGACACTATTTGGAACCCGCTGATTGTATGGGATCAGATACCTTTTATGAATACGTTAAATTAGGTAATTCAATCCATACAATCTGAGGTGATATCTTCAGATCACCATCCTTTTCTTTTCAAGAGGAAAGCAGATGTCTATTCTCATTTTGTGTTTGGTCGTTCTATTGAGTTACATCTATAAGACCAATCTCCTCGTGGTCTAAGGAGTGGAAATATGGCCGGGCGCCATCTGAAATGGTTCGCAGTACACTGAGAGTTAAGAATATAATCAGTAAGAAACGTGAGTCTAAAAATGTTTGTCTTTTTTGTCTACAAAGTTGGGATCACCGCAGACGAAATAAAATAGATGCCAACCCTCACCCCCTTTCTGTATCTCTCCTTCTATTAAGAACCTATCTCAAAGTCAATCTAAAAATCAGGAAATGATTCTATAGAAGTCTGTTTTGTTTTTGCTATGACTTCGCGTTTCTCTCACGGAACATGTCACAGATCAATAAAGCAAGGAGGCCAAAAAATGCACTCCGCCAGACACGCTCTCAAAAACCTCCTGGTGTACAGGGTTTTCTAAATGCACTTCTTCCTACACACATTGAATACGAAGAGGCAGCATGCTGCAGTGCAAAAGTAGTGCATTGTGCTACCTTGCTTTCGGGATATTTAATGTCTTCATCGATACAATTTAGACCAAGAATATAGATTCCTTTTCTAGAGTAAGTATTTGTGTCCTCCCCCCCCCCCTCTCCCCTCGCCGCCCTCTCGATACAATCTAGATCATTGGGGAAGCGGGTTTCGACCCTGATAGTCATGACACGGTGGAATCAGGCAGTCGTCAATTTGTGTGTATGCCGATTTATTGATATTTTTAAAGCCTGTTTATTTCCCTTGCTTTGGGTGAAAAGGAAACCCAATCTATCTTGGATAGACGTAGGGATATCTGCGATTTGATGAGGTGGGAGTGACCTTTTGGTCAGCAAAATTTGGTGACTTCCCATTGTAATTAAAATGAGAAGAAGTCGACGTGGGCCACTCGCTAATAGAAACAGTTCGGAAGCGACAAATGCAGTTTCTAAGACACTAGAATAGACATAAGAGCCGCCTTTAACAGGTAACTGCCACTGGCAAGATTGAAGGCAATCAGGACAGGGATAGACACAGAGCAACGTATTTGAATAGCTTAAATAAATAGGTGACGGGAAAATGTCAGGATAATACAGCACCCGAGAAAAGGAATGAGAGGTGAACCATGATCGTCGATGTTTGTGGGGATCAGGCGCTTCATGATGATGATGATGATCTTGGCATGTGCGCGCAGGCGTGTATATATATGTGTGTGTGTGTGTGTGT